CCCCCTCCCCCGCACCGTCGTCCACATCGGCATCACGCCGAGACAGGGCGTCGGCGACGGTGTTAAGGCGACCCGGACGGTGCTCGACGGTGAAGTCAAAGCCAAAGAGTTTACTGATCCATTGGTGCTGGGGCACCGTCGAGAGCCTCTGATCTAGCATGAACTTGAGGCTATAATGATCCGTGCGGATCCGGAAAGAGCGACCCCAAAGATAGGGCCGCCAATGGCGTACGGCCTGCACCAACCCAATGAGCTCATGCTCATACGCCGCCAACTTAAGATGATGTGCGGCAAATGGGCGACTGAAGAAAGCGAGGGGTCCCTCGCCCTGGTGTAGGACCGCACCGAACCCCGCACCGGAAGCGTCGCAGTCGACGGTGAAGGGGAGGTCAAAATCCGGCATCTGCAGTACGGGTCCCGTCGTGAGGGCCCCCTTGAGGGCCTCGAAGGCTGAAGTGGCCTCCTCGTCCCAAGAGAAGGCGTCGCGCCGGAGGAGACGCGTGAGTGGGGCCGCGATGAGGCCAAACTCCCGGATGAACTTTCGGTAGTACCCCGCGAGGCCAAGAAACCCGCGAAGAGCACGCGGAGACTGCGGAATCGGCCAGGCCGCGACGGCCGCGACCTTGTCGGCATCCATGGCCACTCCCTTGGCCGAGATGACGTGGCCGAGGTAAGCGACCGACGGCGTCCCGAACGAGCACTTCGAGCGCTTATGATGAAGATGATGCGCCCGAAGCTCGTTGAAGACGATGGCCACATGCTGGAGGTGCTCTGCCCAAGAGGTGCTGTAGATAAGAATGTCATCAAAGAAAACGAGCACAAACCGGCGTAAGTAGGGCCGAAGGACATCGTTCATCAAGGCCTGAAACGTCGCTGGGGCGTTGGAGAGGCCAAAGGGCATCACCAAGAACTCGAAGTGGCTGTGATGAGTCCGAAACGCCGTCTTGGCGATGTCGTCTGGATGCATGCGTACCTGATGATACCCTGATCGAAGGTCCAGCTTGGTGAAGAAGTGTGCCCCGTACAGCTCGTCGAGAAGCTCATCGACAACCGGAATAGGAAACGTGTCCTTCAATGTGAGAGCATTAAGGGCACGGTAGTCAATGCAGAAACGCCATGTGCCATCCGACTTACGCACGAGGAGGACCGGTGCTGTAAACGGGGACGTGGAGATGCGGATGATGCCGGCGGCAAGCATGAGTGCACACTGTCGCTCCAACTCGTCCTTCTGCAGCTGTGGATACCGGTAAGGCCGCACGGCCACAGGGGCCGATCCCGGAAGGAGGTGAATACGGTGGTCGTAGATCCGGGCCGGTGGCAGACCCTGCGGCTCCTCAAAGAGATCCCGGTGCTGCTGCAGGAGCCCGTCCAAGAGCGGATGCTCGGCCTCCGTGGTCGCCGTGGCCAGCTGAAGAGGGGGCGCGGGTGCGGCCCCCCGAATGCCCTCCCACCGAATGCGACGACCCAAACGCTAGAAGGTCATCGTTAGCGCGTCAAAATCCCAAAGGATAGGACCCAACGTGCGCAAGAAGTCGACGCCGAGGATAAGTCGAAGCAGCCCAAATCGATGCCGGCGCATGTGATGGTGAAGTGCTCGTCGCCGATAGTGATGGGCACGTCGCGGGCAAGCCCATGGCAGCGTAGACGGTCGCCATTCGCGACCGTGACCCATAACTGCTCTCCTCCGATCGGCTGGAGCGCAAGACGCCGCATGGTGGCCTCTGGCAGGAAATTATGCGTGGAACCTGTGTCTAGGAGGGCCACCAGGCGCTCGCCATGGATCATGACCGGTAAAAGCATCGTCCGTTCATCACGGATGCCGGCCAGCGCGTGAAGGGACACCACGAAGGCGGTAGCCGGGCCCGGTGCGGGTGCCGCTGCGGGCTCCGCAAGAGTCGGGGCGCCGAGGTCGGCCTCCGGGGTGTCATCCTCGATCTCGTCCGTCGTCTCCAGGTAGAAAAGGCGCGGACAAACATGGCCCGGCGCATATGGCGCATCGCAGTTGAAGCACAGGCCCAAGCGCCTGCGTTCCAGCTGCTCCGCCTGAGTGAGGCGCCGGAACGGCCGTGTCGGGGCTGGGATAGCGGCCGTGGCGGTGGTAGAGGACGCCGGTGCTGCCGAAGGCGGGCGGGGAGGCTGGCGGCCCCCACGCGGCGACGTCAAAGCCTGGGCACGCTGCTCGAACGCCCGCGCGTAGTACATGGCCATCTGAAGGTCTTGTGGTCCCTTCATCTCAACGTCCACGCGGATGTGGTCGGGAAGGCCGCCGACGAAGAGCTCCGCCCGCTGTAAGGCTGTCACACCAGGCGCGTGGCACGCTAGAGCCTGGAAGCGGTCGGCGAAATCCTGCACCGTGGAGGTGAATGGTAGGCGGCCCAACTCGGCCAAGCGGCTCCCGCGTACCGGTGGCCCGAACCGAAGAAGACAGAGCTCGCGGAAGCGATCCCACGGTGGCATGCCGCCCTCGTCCTGCTCGAGGGCGTAGTACCAGGTCTGGGCGGCCCCGCAAAGATGGTAGGAAGCCAGCCACGTGCGCTCGGACGCGGGCGTGCGCTGTCCACGGAAGAACTGGTCACATTGGTTTAGCCAGTTAAGCGGGTCTTCGGAACCGTCGTACGTGGCGAAGTCAATTTTGGCGAACCGGGGCGGCTGCTGGTGTGGGGTGCCCGGGGCCACGGCCTCGGCGGTGCGGAGGGCGGAGGACGGCGCCCGGTCCAGGGTAGACGGCCCGGCGTACTGCCTTGGGATGCCCGACGCCTCGGGCTGCCACGGGGACCCTGACGGGGGCTGGGCCTCCGTGGGAGCCGACGGCGGCCCGTGGAGCCAGTCAGGCAGCGGCGATGGCGATGAAGGAAAGCGGACCTCCTGGATAGGGAGGCCGCTCGGCGAGGACCCGCCCGGCCCAGGGTTGGGCGGTGGCGGTGGTGGAGCGCGCGCCGTGGCCGCCGGGAGGGACGGCGCGGTGGAGGGTGGCGCGGATGGTGGAGTCCAGGTCGGCCACTGTGGTCCCTGGGTGGAGGCGGATGGCGCGGTTGGCGCCGTGAACGGCGTCGGCCATTGTGGCCAGGGCGTCGTCGAAGCCGTCGGAGCGGGAAGCGCCGGGTAGCCGCCGGTGAGAGCCGCCGGTACGGGGTACCACGGCAGCGCCTGCTGGCCCGTGGCCGCGGTCTGGTGGAGCAGTGGGGGCGGCCCGTATGGGCTGGCCAAGTAGAGACGGATGCCCTGGACCGCCACGACTAGGTCATTGAGCACGCCGGCCATAGCTTCTGGTGTGAACTGCGGCGGCGGGGGGTAAGGCGGCGGCGATGGCTGCTGGATGGGAAGCTGCGGCTGGCCCTAGCCCGGCGTGGTGCCGGGGGCGGAGGAGAGCGGCGCCGACAGGGAGGCCGTAGTGCCCGTCGACGCGGCGGCGGTAGTGGAGGAATCGGTGGCAGCGGCGGTGGGGGAGGCGTGGGGCAGCGGTGGTGGGATTGGCGGGGAAGACATGGTCGAAACCCGGGTACCTGATACCAAGGTGTTAGCGGCTAGGGTTCTGCCCGGTCTTGGTCGGAGACAGTAGGGGAAGGAGGGGGAAGGGCGAGGGCTTGAGCGCGGCGGCCGGCGGCGGGGCGCCGTCCTGGCGCGGTGCGGCGGCGGCGAGAGAAGGAGGCGGCTAGGGTTTAGGGTTTCCGGCTCCTCTGGGAACCGGGCAATAGAAATAGTCTTATTGCTTAATTCCAAAAAGAGTCTTACAACCTATATTTATATCCTAGATAACTTGCAGAAGAATTAACCTAAGATAACTTGTATAAGAATTAACCTAAGATAACTTGCATAATCTGAAAATAAAAACTAAGATAACTTGCGGGCCTAAGCCTGCCTGTTGGGCCTCCTTCGGCCATAGACCTGGCCGGTCATAACACAATTACTTTGCATCGATGATAGAAAAGAACGCTCTATGAACAATACTTAGATAAGGCATACCCCACAGCACGCTCACACAATCACTAAAAAAATGAGCTGTTGCATGAAAAACAACATACTGCGTAAAGGAGCTATTTGAGGAAAAGAAACTGTAAATGATCTTCATATAAGTTCACCTATATTGGTTATAAATTTTGAAATTATGTTTTGTTGGTGGCCATTTGTGTTAACATTTCATCAAGAGAAGCAAATTTGTAGTGATTTACTGAACTAAAAGATCTTAGTCTATATCGTAGTTTTGTTTTTAACGTTCAGGTTTGATAATTGCAGTGATCACACAGGGCTCTCCAGTGGTCCTGGTTTTTCTGTGATTTGTTGTTTTCCATGCACAACAGTTTTAGAACGCAATGACAGTGCTGTCATCTTTCATACAGCGTCTTATTTTCCATCGTAGTTTAGTATTCTCTCTTTTATTGACATTAACCTTAGTTTTCCTTATACTTGGTACATTTCATAGTGCAATTGCAATGAACATACGCCTCACGATATTTTCCCTGAATGTGTTTATGTTTCGTAAAAACTCTTCCAATCATGTCTTACTTTTTTATTACAGTCTTTTGCTTTGTCAAGCCACAGCAGCAGGATTTATGTTTTTCCATTTTTTGTGTGTTTGCTTTCTATGCTTTTTACGTATGCCAGTATGCCACTATATCAGAGGTGCCTAGTTTTCTGAATACAAACATCACTAGTACAAGGATAAGCATAAATAGCAACACCAAGTATTATATGATATGCATTTAATTCATTTCTTCTTATGTTGATCTGTTGTTGCAATCTGATTTCCTCCTTTCCTACCATTTCTCCAGATTTGTTGACGTAGTACATGAAGCCCCTCTATCTGGTCAGCGGCAGCCTCGAAGCATAGTTGGTGGCACTCTGTACTGTATCTTATTGGCAAGTGAATATTTGCTAGGGTTCCATTATTTTATTAATAGTTGTAGACCATGTTATCTTTTCTTAGTTTGCTGGAGAGACCTTTGAAACATGTTTTTACTTCATCTTACTTTATATTTAGCCAGGAGAATATATGTACTTTATGTCTGCTAGTCCCTTTCACTCCTTTAATTGTGCTGTTGTTTTTCCTTTCCCCCTTGCGGTTTCTGGCAGCTGTGATTAACTTCTTCTTCTTCTCTAGGCAGGTTATGCTGGTATTGTCATAGCAGCTCCATGGATATTTGTTCTTATACCAGACATGATCCTTCCGTTGCTATGTAGCTGCAATGTTCTGCTTCTAATTATTACAGGTTCTTGTTTAATTTACTGGTTATCTATACTGGTAGATTTTCTATGGAGTAACCTCTAACAGAAATTTGCTGCAGGTATATTCCAACAATATTGGGTCCATCAGGTCACAAAAGTGCGACTACAGGTACGTCACGAAAGAAAAGAAAGAGAAGGTCTTTATGAATTCTTTGTCAGCGCAAATAGAGGCTCTACACATTAATATTGCCGACGATGTGTAATTTCAAAATGAAAAGGCTATCAACCATCAGTTTGTAGCCATGAACCATTCACTGTTACGGTTTGCTGCGACTAAAGTCTGTTCATCAACCTTTGTTTTAAGTCATGGCTAAATGTTAACATATTAGCTCTGTAATGTTTACTTGTTGATATAGTGCTCGAGCTTTATAATTCCTTGGATCTAATTTTATGTTAGTTGGGATCTTTTATTGGTAGTGTTATCATACCATTTACCAAGCTTCATCTTGTAAATGCAGGGCTACTATGATTTAAGCCAAAAATTGAAGCGCATTGCTCGAGTTCCATTTGCCGCTATTGCTTGCGGTAAGTATTAGCTAACCAATGTGTCCTACGGAGTATCTGCTATGTTCTGATGCCAGCACCTACCATTTATTTCTTTAAACCTTCAAGGAGAATTATTGTACTAAGAAACTGCTATCCTTCTGATCTGCATTGCATTTTGTAGTGAATATGTTGGTACCTGGGTTGTTTTTACCTCGGCCTGGACATTATGTGGTAGAATCTATACTGGTTTGGCTGTTATTATGTTTCTGCATCTGCTGATTTGGTAACACGTTCATGCTAGTTGCTGGTACCCCTAAATAGAACTAAAACCACGACACTTATTTTGGAGTGGAGGGAGTATAATATTGTTATTTCTTTTTATTTTAAATTTTACATTAATTATTTGGAGTAAAAACAACATGTTTGATCTCTTTATGCAATTATAGTGACGAATTATTTTGTTAAAAATATGGTTGCAGGTACTGCCCTATTGCTCTTAATTCTAGTTTGGCAGCCTCGAGTAGAGGTATTATCAATTTCAGTTTTGCTCAGGTACAGTTCTTCTGTTGAGTTGAGTATAAGCTTTCCTTAAGTTAACCTTCTAATAATATAAAAGGTTAAGATGACCATAAGCTGCATTCTGTAAATAAAAGCATAATTGGTATCTTTAGGATGAAAAATGTATGGAATGCATTTGCATAGTTTATGCCATTTTGAGGTGGAGGTTTAGTATTCTCTTATGCTGATATCATGACATGTGAAGCTCTTGGGTTATTCAAGAAGTTCAAGGTTTATTATAGGAGCGTGTAGGGTACAGTAAATATGGTTATAATTCTTTAGTGCACCTGGTCTTACGTGCATATTGAACTTTACTCTTAGATTATTATCATCACTCTGGTGGAGTAAAAATGATTAAGTAGGCAAGCTACACAAAAAATACTTGTATTGCTTATTTTGTTAAATTCAGTGCATTGCCCTCAGCAACCTCAAAGCCAAGTAAATTTCTGGACCTTATGATACATACTGACGTATTATATCTTTCTGCCTTTAATGAAATTTCAGTACGCATATGCTAAATTGGTTTCTTATTTAGCGGGATACTGTGGCTGTTCTGCTTTGGTTCTAAAGAGAAATGAAACACTCCTATGTGATTTTTAATGCTATCACTTTCTAATTATGCAGGATTGCACTAGTTGTTGAAGTGATATCCGCCGGATGTTTCATGAGCTTATACATAGGTGGATTCTGTTGTGTGGTTTATCTATTTTATTTTGTGTATGTTTCAGCCAGCATAAATTACTAGTCATTTTTCGGTAACTTTTTGGGCTTGACTTCCTTTAACTGTTTGTGGCCATGTAGCGTTGGAAAGTTCATTAACCGTCTTCCTAGATTTTTAATTCCTGTCAACAATTAACTTTGTTTTTCCTTGAATCACAGTAGACAGTAGATCAAGAAACATGCAATAGGCCTTACTTGCCAGATGGTAATTCTGCATATTTGTTCATTAATCATTAATTACATGGTGATTCCACATGTTGTCTCATTAGTTATTAAGGGTTCTCTGACTTTTGTTGGGTCGATAGCTCCCAATCATTTCCTGCAAGCAATTAGATGACATTTTGTAATATTATGTCTGTATTTTCTAAATTTTGATATGCAGGGCACATCCATAAATACAACTCTTTGAATGAGCAGCCTGACATTCTACGGCCACTTTATTCTGCACTGCAACCATCTAGTTCGCTGGAAGAGATAAGGTACAATATATTTGTTGCTTCATTAATAATCACATGGACTTAATAAGGTAGAATATAGTATCACATGGACTTGATCTGGTTTACCTAATTATATTGGTTGTGTATTTTTTTCTTGGCAAATACTAACTGCGTATGCAAATGCTTTTCCATTTTAGTAAAAAGCACATGTATTTTAACATCTAAAAATTGCTTCATAGGAGTATACTCCTATCTTTGCATGTACAACTGTCTGTTCTTTCACTGAGTGCCACTACTTCCAATTATTGTGTGTTTGCTTTTACGTAGAGAAGAGGAGCTTTGTGCTAATGCTTTGAATATCAAAAAATAGAAATCAATGCCATTTTGAAAGCTTGTAGCCATCAGTGAAATCAATTCACATTCCTGTCATTTGACCTTTCTGGGTTGATACAATAATATATTTGCAGGTACTATGATTCTCGTCTGTCTGACCAACAAATGGCATTGCTCCAGTACCAGAGGGAGAATATTCATTATCTGAGTGAAGAGGTACTTTTTTCGAGAAAACGCAAAAGAGTTTGCGTTTCATTTCATTGAACAGGAAGAGAACAGCAGTACAGGTACAACCTCCCGGGAGGAGGGACACACGCACACACACCATCGTCCTCACCAGACAAGCAGGTGAGGAGGTGCTACCAACTACAGACCGCAACAACGAAAGGTCTAGCCTTGTCCAGCCTCCAACCATGAATGGCAAGGTAGCTAGACACAGAGCCTCAAGGCCGCGTCACAGCCGTTGCCAGGCGCCTCCGAAGAAGACTACATCTCCAGGGCTGACCGGGCCAACGTACCTTCCACCCATATGTGCCTAGGAGACGGCAGGTGGATGGCAGGACCCAGCCAGAACTAGCGAAGCCATCGTCTTGGACGTGCCGGCGCCGGCGTACATTGCGCCCCGGACGCCCACGCTCCATGCTGCAGCCCTCATCACAGCATCGCATTACCAGCAAACCTCGCCGGAAAGACCGGGGAGGCCACCATCTCCAGCTGACGCATAGGGGACTCCAAGTGCGACCCAAGCAGCGCTTTCAAGAAAGGAACGGCGCTGAGACGCCGTCGCTGCCTTGTCCAGGGAACTGGACCAAGGGTTTCCCCCGGTGCCCGAGGAGAGGGTCCAGTCTGGGCCATGACAGCGCCTCCATGGAGGTAACGGCACCCTCAGGTGTCGCCGTTGTCAGCGCAGGCCAACGCCGCGCAGGGATTTCGCCCGGCCCAAGACCAGAACCCCAAAACCGCCGAAGCAGAGCAAACAGGAGATGGGGAAGCAGATCGCCAGAGAGGACCACCAGCACCGAGAGGGAAACCACGTATTGTCACTGTCGATGTAGGGAAGCACCGGCCAGCGCAGTGCAGCAGCTGCTGGATGGCTGCCAGACAAGGCCAGCCATCGCACGGGACGCGTCGAGCAGGGCTAGTGGCGCCGTCGCGGAGACCAGCCACCTGCACCTTGCCGCCGCCGACCATGGCCGCTGCCGCGCCGGCCCGCAGCCTCCGCCACCCGGATCCGCCGGGGCACAGCCAAGCAGCCGCAGCCGCGCCCCCAAAGGGTCGCGCCGCGCCGCCCGCGTGCTCGCCACGCCAGTCCAGAGGCCCGACCCTCTGGATCTGGGGCCGCCGTCGCGAAACCCTAGGTTCGGAGAAGCGCAGCTCCGTCAGCCTCGTCGAGCCCCACGCTCGAGGGGGGAGGCCGCCTGGGAGCGAAGTCCCGCCGCCGCCGGATCCACCAGGGCTTTGCCCGGCGGGGAGCACCGGCGGCGGCAGGGGGAGGGGGAGGAGGAGGGGAGGGAGCGCTTGAGGGCTGCGTCGCCTCCCGAGTCGCCCGTGGGGAGGGCGACGCGGGGGAGGGTCGATTTCTTCTAATGATCAATCCTGGGAAGTTGTCTCAGTGAAGAGGTACTTGGAATAGTTCTTTTTTTTCATGTACTTGATTAGCAACTGCATTTACTGGCCATGTTTATTTTCCTCAATTATGTTATTATCACAGAATAGTAAAGTACTCCCTCTGTCTATTTTGGGATGGAGGGAGTAGTAGATACGATAATATTATTAAAGAGAAAGATTTTCAACTGTTGTCCTTACAATATACATGTGTTGTAATTAAGACTGTTACTCATTTGGCATCATTGATCATTCCTTTTTTCTTTCTAGATACTGGCTGGGCACAGCACACCGTTGCAGAAAGTGGTTAATGGCATGTGTTGTAATAACTTTTGACATTTTACAAAGTAGAATAGTCAATGCATTACACGCCACGAACAAATTCTGATTTATGCAATTAAAATAGTGGTGTTGTGTTGATTGATTAATGTGATTTTTTTTTCTACATCAGGTGCTTAGGTTGCAAGAAAGCTTAAGTAAGTACCATAGAAGTGTTGCTGCCAGCACTCCTCAGGTTCAAATTAAATCTACCGCCAAACCTTTCCCTCCCATCCGTTGAATGCTTAAGCAGACTAAAAACTGCTCAATGTTAATTATTTGTAAATCAACCTGCTTAATGTTGGGTGAATTGGTGCATCATGATTTAGTATTTATGTTTCTTATCATATTTCTCCAGGTTGATCTTACTCATCTTTTGGCATCTCGTGATCAAGAACTTCGTGCACTGTCTGCTGAGGTAATTACTCTCGGCCAACCAGATATTGCGCACTATGCATACGGCAGAGGTGGTATCAACACCTAAAAATATTTGGTGTGTTTGAACTACCTTTTCTACATCACTTTATTTCGTAACTGCAAAGTAGCAGTTATTTCTGAATTAAGTGAATGGTGAGGTTGGTTGTTGAGTGTCAGTGTGTTCCACCACTTGTGTCAGACCAATCTGTAGGATATATACTTGGCGGATAATTTGCTCTTTCTGCCTCTGTTCATACTCTAAATGTTAACGAGCAGGGGCGGAGGCTTTGTAGGGGCCAAACTGGGCCATGGCCCGCCTAGGAATTTGAGAAAATAATTACCTATGCATCTTCCATGCGCAGCCCACCTGCAGTCCAGAGCAGGACTCACATACGCTCAGCCTAAGTAGGCAGCGCATCCCCATCCTCTCTCCCCGTCTCGACCCAGTTCGGCCCGTACCAGCAAAGCGGAGCAGGGAGCACACGGGCAAGCGGGACTAGGGCAAAGCCGGCAGCAGAGGTAGAGGAGAGGAGATGGCGTCCCTGTCCTTCACCGGCGCCAAGTTCAGTGTAAAAATACGATCTTGGGCTGCTTTTACTCTTACGATTGGATCCTGGGAGCTGCCGTCTGTAGATTCTTTAGGTGTTCTCTATTTACTTGAAGCCTACATGACTTAGCTGTAGGTTGGTTCAGATTAGCTTACATGATTTACTTCTCCAATGTTGGATAATGATTTGACTACCCAGATGCTAATCAGTAGCCTCGCGAATCTTTTGTAATCTTAGCACAATCCCATGCTTGAAAAGTTCAGCTTAGGATTTGAAGGTGCTGCAAAAGTTCTCTGTCTACTTGTTTTTTAGTTAAAAAAGGGCACTTGCAGATTGATTTTTGTTGATGCCTTGTGGAGAAAGGACCATCTACAATTTGGTTGACAGACTACTTCGTTTACTCAATACTGTTCCAGTTTCTACGGCGAGTGTTGAACATGAATTTTCAGTCCAACTTTTTTAGTTTGGCCCGTCCAGCTTTTTCTTTCAAGCTCCGCCACTGTTAACGAGACTTCGACTTGGATAAGTACAGTGCTGGGCGAACAAGAATACTCAAGCTATTCTTCGTTAGCTTAAGGATATGTAGATCATACTTTTCTGTTAATACTCCAGCATGGACTAAATACTTTGCTCATCTATCATTTAGATGAATCAAGTGCATTCGGAGCTTCGTGTTGCTCGTGGTTTGATTGCTGAGAAGGACTCAGAGATCCAGCTCATCCGTGGGAAAAACAATCAAGTATGTTACCGTTCAGTTTTGTGTGTTTGTCTGCAAATTTTGCAGTAGTCAGATAATAGTTCCAAGCCGGTTCTGGCAAAATATGCATGACTCCTTGTAAGAGGAAGCAAAGCATTATTTGTTGATGCTGAACATGATAAAATGCAGTACGTCGAAGAAAACGAGAGACTAAGAGCTATCCTTGGTGAATGGAGCACTCGAGCAGCAAAGGTAATCATGAATGATAGAACCTGATGTTGATTTTAACAGAAGCATTTCCCTTATCATCATCTCGTTCACGTGTGTACTCGACAGCTTGAGAGAGCGCTCGAGGCTGAGAGAGTGTCCAACATGGAACTGCAGAAGAACCGCGCAAAGCTCAGACGCCAATCAACCAGGGAGAAAATACCTGACATTCCTCAATCAGACAGTTCCTCCATAGGTGTGCTCTAGCTTATGTGATTGTGTCAGCAGTTTTTGTGTAACAATCCATAGGTGAACTTTGTGGCGTCATGTGAAGATTTGAAACCTTCAAACCTCGGAGATCAGTTACGTACGTAGTTGTAGATTGAAGTACAGTAGGAATGAGAAATGTTGTATGTTGGCTGTATGGGAGCACTTGTAAATATGCAGTACTATGATTAAAAGTAGAACGGTGCGGTTTCTGGAGCTGTGACGTTTTCGTGCCTCCTGGGCTCTATGTAGCCTGTTGTTTTCAAATAAATTATGAATGTCGCATTTAGAAGTTACAAAAAGGTTCTGATTTTTTTTTCTGCATATACATACATATCTGTAAAATTTTAAGAAAATAATGTTAATTTGTAGCCCACAAGAAGAAAGAATTATTATTAATAAAACTGTGCATACATACTATTAGTTCGCATCTAACTGTACAGGCTCTATAATTGTTTTTGAAACAGAGGCAAATGGCGTGCCTCATTCATTACTCAAGGAGTTTAGAGTGCATGCAGGTTCTATAAAAGGCATTTGTGAAGTTTCTGTCAACTCAGAATTTTCCTGATAATTCTTGAGTTGTTCTTCACTTGTTCCAAACAGCCCATGTTTTCTCAAGAAAAAAAAATGCCTCATGTTCTAGCATTCCCGCCTTCTCATTTTTGCCTGTATCTCGGTGAAGTGATGAACCCTTACGCATCCCCGTCGATGGAGGGGGCCAAGGTGGTGGACGACCGCATAGGGCCCCCAAAAATTTGAGGCCCCCAGATTACCAGGTTTAGTATACTGATTGTACGTATTAATCCACCTGCTAACCAAGCCCGTATAGAGGCCCTGTTTGGATACTCTAACTACGTTAGAGGTTAGAGTTATATTTTAACCCTAAACTAATCCTAAACTAACTCTAACCAAAAAGATGTTTGGATGGTTGAGTTAGATTGACAATAAATATTCTTTCTCAATCATTTGACTACTTTGGACCCTATTTGAATGCGAGAGGTAACTTTTTTTACTATTTTTTTAGTAGGCCCAGAAGAACTAACCCAGATAAGCTCCTCTAGTGTGGGCTAGTTTTTTTGGTGAATTAGATCCAACTAATCCAAACTAACCCATCATGTTTGGATATTTTTGGGTTATTTAAGCCCCAACTAACTAAAACTAACTCTAACCTAGAAATCCAAACAGGCCAGAGACCCACTCAGCAGCAAAGCCAGCCCATGAGGCCTCCTTCTACATGTATCGATCAGGCATGTTCCGTCATCGATCGCTAAACCTAAACACAACACGCCACCGGTTCGCTTCTGCCAATCGCCCAGGACGGCGCGGTCTGCTGGCTGCCTTTCGCCGATCGGCGATCCCAGAACCTCGACGCCACCTCCAATCCTCCACTACTAGTGTACTAAGTATCACTGTCTCGTCTACTAATTTCGTCTCTGTCTTCTATTACTAGTATTCGATTAAGTTTGATCTCCCCGATGCTAAGTTAGGAGTAGCAGAGTAGGTCAATACTATTATTTGTCCATGGGGCTAGATATTGGTATTCCGGCTGGCGCTAAGTTAGGTTGGCAGGGACGGAATTAGGACCAGATTGAGTTTGTCCACGGAATCTTTGTCATGAATTTATTTGTTAATGAAGATAGGTTAGGAATAGTAGGAAATTAAATTTGTTCCCGCTCGGTGATAATAAAATGGGAATACAATTTATTTATATTAGTTCTTCTGTCATATAAAATATTTTTGAAATTTTAGCCCTAGTTTGATTTTCGTCCCGGGGCCCTGAATTTCGCACCGGCCCAGCAGGTATGTAAGGAAAGGCATCCATACACTATGCATTGAGCATCCGCAACGACCACGTGACAAATGTGATAAACAATTTCAAACTAATCCAAAGAAAAAAGGGGTGTGGCTGCTGGCTGCTGGGCTTTGCACATAGGGACATTGCACGAGCTATATCCTTTGGCAAAATCAACCTGATCGTCGAGCATGACGTGACGAAGGGAGCCACTAGCTTAGGTGCTCCCGTGCGACCTCAGCCATTGGATCTCAAATCCAACAGCTCCTGTAAGATGATGAACATTTTTGCAAAAAAGCCCTCATAGAATCTGAAAAATGCGCACAAGTACAACAACTACAGCAGCTTCTCATACGCCGTTGGATCTGAGATCCGATGGCCCAAAAGCCCGTATCATGGGAGCATCTAAGCTCCGGTATCATAGGATACTCTCCCACTAGTTAACGAGCGCTCTTTCGGGAGCCTCGCAACGATCAGCGCCACTTCGCGTGCTCTCAGCCATTCGTCACGCGTCGCGTTTTGGGTGCTTCCTCCGGATTTTGTTTTTTTCATGCGTTTTTGGCTATTTAAACGGGTTTTTCCGGATTTTTTCGACGTTTTGGTTTTTCATCGGTCTTCCTTAGCTTTTGGACAAAAAAATCGATTTTTTGCGCGAAAAGACGCGTTTTCTTTTTCTTTCGTGAGAGTCACGAAAAAAACACGTTTTCTGTTTTTTTTCCTTCCTTGAGAGCACGGTTGTGCTTTCGCGAGAGTCACGGCCGTGCCTTTCGGAAACGGAAAAAAACTCTTTTTTGTTTTTTTTCTTTCGCGAGAGTCACGGTTTTGTTTCCGCGAGAGGCACGGTTGTGCTTTTGCGAGAGTCACAGCCGTGCCTCACGGAAACAAAAAAAACATGTTTTTTAATTTTTTTTTCTTTCGTGAGAGTCACGGTTTTGCTACCGCGAGAGGCACAGGGTGTGCTTTCGTTGGAGTCACGGCCATGCCTCCTCAGAAACGAAAAAAAACAATTTTTCTTTTCTTTTTTTCCTTCCGCGAGAGTCACGGTTTTGCTTCCGCGAGAGGCACGGGCGTGCCTCTTTCGGAAAGGAAAAAACCCGTGCTCCTGGTTCGGTTCTTCTGTCCGGTTTTTTCGTAAAAAAAGTTCGTCAAAACCTATCAACACGAGATCTAGTTATAAAGATCTCGATGCGAGGAATCCAACGGTGAAAGCGGTTTGAGATTTAGACGCATAGTATGAGTGATAAAACATTTTGAATAAACGGATCTACGACAAAAGGGAAAACTCACAGGTTGTGACAAGTGACGCGCTGCATATACGCCACTTATCGCAACCTGGGGAGTTGGAGTGATCTTTCAACGAGTACTCCTCGACTAGTGATTTCGCGCATTCGGTGCTCGAGTTTCCGAGATTTCCTTGCTGATATTTTTTTTGAAAGCAAAACTGCTTGATTACTTAACGGTTTCTGGGCATATCACCCAGGATACAAACACCCACGTGGGCAGGGACATCAGACGACCACTCCAGATGGTGGTCACTCACACACGCACGGCCAATGCCGGCTAGTTCATGTGCTACAGAATTTGCGCTACGCCTACAAACAGAAATGGAAACTTTCAAAAACCACATCTTAAGTTGGTATTTCATGTCCTCGATCTGGGCTGCATACGGCGAGGAGTCCGCCTTACGAAAGTCGAGCGCCTCTGCCAGGAGCTGGGAATCAGTCTCGAGCTCAACCCTCACCAGTCCGAGGTCGGACGCCAGGCTGATCGCATGGGCCATAGCTACTGCTTCAGCTGCAAAAGCATCCCCAATGTTCGTCTCTCTGCTAGCCTGAGCACAAATCAGGTTACCCTCAGCAGTTCTCACAGCGGCACCCCAACCTACGTGATCTTGGCTCGGGATGAAGGAACCATCAACATTGATCTTGTACATAGTTTCCTTCGGTGGGCACCACCTATCCGGTTGCTTCTTATCCTGGACATGGGTAAATATTTGCAGGTACTCGATGACATTGCTGCGCATTCTTCGCGCCACCACACTCGCCTCCAAAGGTAGTTCTCCCTCCCTCTGTTTGTTCCGGTTAGACCACCATAGCCACCAGAAAGTAAGCACGTGCAAGCGCTTATTGACATCTAGGCCTCATAGGAAATCAAGCATTGCATGCATAGACGTGATCTCCTCGAGTTGCATCCTCTCCTTCTCCATGGCCAAGTCTCTCCACACACACCCTTCACTATTTTGCATTTTATGAAAAGGTGAGCTCCATCCTCGTCTGCCAGCCCGCAGAATAAACATTTGGTACTTTCAATATGAATTCCTTTTCGGGCAACATTCACCCGAAGAGCAAGTGACTCGTGCTTCAGTCTCCACGTGAACATTTGTATGTTCTTGGGGCAGGGTAGTCGCCAAATCCGTTTCCATGAATCGTCAGGTGTTCGATCAAGATTCCCAGGATTGTTGTCGCTTCCACCAACCCCGCTGTCACTCCGGGTTTTCTCAATCTCCATGTGAAGCTTGTACGCACTTTTGACCGAATGGATGCCCTTGGTGTCATACTGCCATGCCACAAAGTCTGGGACTCCATCCCGAAGAGGAATCTAAAGTATGTGCTTCACATCATCCGCCCAAAAAGTATCTCGCACAAGCTGTTCATCCCAGGCCCCAGTGAGTGGATTAATGAGATCGCTGACCCACTCCAAGATACTAGGACCACGCGGGGTGATGACACGTCTCGACTAGGCTCGAGGAATCCAGGGATCCGACCAAATACGGACGTGTGTGCCATCCTCAATCCGCCAGATGTAGCCCTCTCGAAACAAACTTAGCACATGCAGCACACTTCGCTAGGCATAGGAGATACCCTCCCTTGGGACCGCCTCAAAGATGTTTCCATTGGAAAAGTAGCGGGCCTGCAAAACCCTAGCACAGAGGGATTCCGGGTTTTGAATGAGTCTCCAAACTTGCCGGGGCAACATAGCTAGGTTAAAACCATGCATGTCACGGAACCCCAGCCCTCCGAGTGCTTTAGGTTTGATGAGCTTCTTCCAGCTGATCCGATGAGCAGCATGCTCCTTATCATATTGGCTCCACCAGTAGTTCCCAATCAGTGAACTAAGTTCCTCACAAAAAGATTTGGTCAAGTAGAAACATGACATAGCGAATGTGGGAATAGCTTGCGCAATAGTTGTAACCAACGTTTCTTTCCCG